TTTTTAAATATATTACATTTGATTTTTCTGTTTTAAACCTTAACACCATTTTGCAATATTATTGTTTTTACTGTATTTTTGATCAAATACATAAAAGAGCATAAAAAACTTCTTTCAAAAACATTAAAAAATCATCCCAAACTTTTGAACAGTTGTTTATGTATCAGCATTTCATTAGACATTAGCTTTATCAGCATTGGCCACTGAACAGCCAATATGGATCAACCACTATTAGACTGAGCTAGTCAGTTCTACAGAAATTCCAACTAACAAACATTCATGCATATAAAATATGAAAATACTTAAGAGGCAAACATACAGGATGAACAGAGATGCTCTTCTTCAGTTCCAGCTTGAGCTCTCCATCTGAAAACCAATCCAATAGCCCAAATTGTTTCCTTGCTTTTCTTCTCATTCCTGGTTTTTATCCACCTTTAGCTCCATCAAGCAGACTTTTAAAGGTTCAGCAGCAAGTGCTCCACTTTTGAATGTCAAAGCTTGTTTGTGAACATTTTCAGCATTACTTCCATCAATCAGTATGAGTGGTATGACACGGTAAGCCACAGAGAGGATTGTAGGTCTTTTTATACACTTGAGTGATGAACATGTGCATCCATTCATTAGGGAAGTAACAAAAACCTCCAAGTTCTCAAGTGAGAGAATTGCCAAAGTGAAACAAAGGATGGAGAATAATAAAAAAAAGGATAAGAGTAGGGGAGGGAGAGACAATACTCTGGAGCTGCAGCCTAATCTCTCATAAATCGTGATGAACAGGTAAACACAGAATCTCTCAAGCGCTGTTCGTGTTAGTGTGTATTCTTGTGGTGAAGTCTCATTTGCATAACTAAAGTCCTGACGGACAAGCATGGTTATCTGCCCAAAAACAGCACAATATGTTCAATGAGTCTGTAGATCATGTTGTTAGTGTATGTGCATGTACTCACGGCTCCAGCACATAAGTGTACTGTCCCTCTGGTGTGCGGTCCTGTCTGTAGGTCAGGTTGTAGTTGATCATGGTGTCAATCAAATCATAGAGCTGCTGCTTCTCCCTAGTGCTGTAAAGCTGAGGGTTGACCTGTAAGAAACACATCACATGTCCCACTAAGTCTGCATTTATTTGATCAAAAATACTGTAAAACAGTAATATTGTGGAATATTATTACAATATAAAATTTAAAACTGTTTTCTAATTTTCAAATGTAATTTATTCCAGTGATGGCAAAGCTGAATTTTCAGCATCATTACTCCAGTCTTCAGTGTCACATGATCCTTTAGAAATCATTCTAATATGCTGATTTGCTGCTCAAGAAACATTTCTGAATATTATCAATGTTGAAAACTGCTTAATATTTTTTTGTGGAAACTGTAATACAGTGT